TTTTCTGAAATGGTTCCCTGCTTGGCTGCAATATCTGAAACCACCAAATCGGTAAAGAATGTTAATGTGACAAGAATGGAGGTAGGAACATGTTCTCTTTATCTACTTACGCACAATTCCATCTTCCCGAAGAGCATTATTGTCGCTTGACAGTCTACTATCTAATTACAAATGTGATGGTGAGAGGACATTGTCACATGACACTCTTCTGTCTAACTAAAAATGTGATCGTTCTTGGATGTTTTTGGAAAACATTTGCTAAATGCGATGTTTAAAGAGATAGTGGTATTAATGAATGGAGTGTGTTTCAAGGCAGAGTCAATAAACCTTTTTTATTATTCTACCATCAGAGTTGTACGTCTGCACAACATTAATTAAACAACCCCTAAACGTAAGTTATTGGCATAGATCCGATGGATGCATTGTTTTTGTTTTTTTCACGTTTTATTTCCTATCAATATTCTATCAATTATCTCAGAGACTAACAGGGGACCATCTCGGAGACTAACAGGGGACCATCTCAGAGACTAACAGGGAACCATCTCAGAGACTAATAGGGGACAATCTCAGAGACTAACAGGGGACCATCTCAGAGACTAACAGGGAACCATCTCAGAGACTAACAGGGAACCATCTCAGACACTAACAGGGAACCATCTCAGAGACTAACAGTAGACCAACTACTTCAGTAAAACAAAAGAAAATATTACGCACAGAATGCACTTGCCATATTAAAGAATCTCATTGTGCTCTGTTATCGGGAATTTTATTTCATGAAATTAGTGGCGTCATATGTCCTTCATGTGCCAAGACAATATGAACTATTTGTAGAATGTCTGACCCCTTTTTGTTTATATTTGTGTATTTAGCGATTCTCCTCAAACCTAACCAAGCACTTATACATATACCATGTTGACTGACCTTATTCTACAGATGCTGTGGTCTGGACTCGGATAAAAACCTTTACTGCAATGACGTAGCCGAGGACAACTGGGTTTGGGCGCTCCGGGCCTTCATCATAACAATGACCACCATCTTGTTTCTCTACTTTCCCATTCTTATTCCCAAGGGATACAGGTATGTCATGTCATGTCTGAAGTGTGACGGATACAGGTATGTCATGTCATGTGCGAAGTGTGAGTGATACAGGTATGTCATGTCATGTGCGAAGTGTGACGGATACAGGTATGCCATGTCATGTGCGAAGTGTGACGGATACAGGTATGTCATGTCATGTGCGAAGTGTGACGGATACAGGTATGTCATGTCATGTGCGAAGTGTGACGGATACAGGTATGTCATGTCATGTCTGAAGTGTGACGGATACAGGTATGTCATGTCATGTGCGAAGTGTGACGGATACAGGTATGTCATGTCATGTGCGAAGTGTGACGGATACAGGTATGTCATGTCATGTGCGAAGTGTGACGGATACAGGTATGTCATGTCATGTGCGAAGTGTGACGGATACAGGTATGTCATGTCATGTGCGAAGTGTGAC